CATAATTGAAAACTCTGTAGCATCACCCGCCCGAGGGCCGAGTATTGTATAGCGAATCCCGAAGAAAATAATACCGCCAGATATACAGCTGTGTTGTACATACTAGTAATAATACATCGCGTTTCTTGATATCACCGGGTCCGAGCTTTGCTTCGATGATACCACGATACTGAATATGTACGTGGGTACGGTCGAGTAAGTAGGCTATAGGAATACCCACATCATCGGCGCTATAGACCTTCGTCATACAACTTCCGCGTCAGTGCGATGTAGAATCTCTCCAGGTCCATCTTGGTTGCTAGCTCGTTCTTCACCGGTTTCTTCGTTTTGACTTTCGCTGAGTCTTTGGATAGCGGAGCGCCCCTAGGTGTTGGAACTTGCTCGATCATCCAGTCGAAAACTGCGGAGAGCTTGTCTGTCGAGGCTTTTACAACTGGGTCGTCGTGCCCGCCCTGTCTGATTTTCTCTCTCTCCTCCTTGGTTTCCCTCAGAGGTGGCGAGACCGATTCCGTGGATTGATTCGCTGCCGATGCGAGCTGAAAGGCCCCTGACGACTGTTTCTCCTGTTTCTTCCAAGCACCGATAAACCGTGACCAGTCCCCCAGCGCCCAACCATCCCCGCCAACGCGGTTCGCGATGCTGCCCAGCGGCACAGATGGAAAGTCGACATTAAACTCCATCCCCCGAGCTCCCCTTATTTCCCAGTGATCACAGCCCTCTAAGATTCCCAGGAATTCTCCCCACCGAGCGCTCTGCACGGTTACGAGCCCGTCGTTCCCCCACTTATCGTCTTGTTCCCATGGCGGGACACCGGGGCTGTACCATTTGCCCCCAGATGAAGCTTTTAGTTTTTCTTTGGCTTTCTTCTCTGCGTCGTCTAGGACCATCTTGGGGAGCCAGAGAGGGTGCCAGATGTTCATGTCGTCTGCACGCGAAACTACGCTGAAGTATTTAACCCGTGGGTCATCAGGGGTGGCGGGGTTGAAGACGTCGTTGAGGTATGATGTTGTCAGGTTTGCGTAGGCAGGGGAGTCGAGGAGGGATAGGAGTAGTGTCGTGAATGAGGAAGGGAGGGAGGAGAATGAGAGAGTAAAACTTGTTTCGCGTTTCTCGGTTTTGTCGTTTGAGGTGGTTGATGGGGATTCAGATAATGTTTGGGCGTTCTGCTCGGCGCGTTTCAAGATGGCAATCGCGGCTTCCTGTTGACGCCTTCCGAGACCGATGTATTGCTGTGAATTGTATTGCTCTTCGTATCATTCCGTCAGACATATACCAAATGTGAGGCTTACCGCACACCAGTCCATGAAAGGACTTCCCCGATGGGGAGTACTTACTGAAGTTAGCGACAGCGGTGCATATTCTGTTGGCTTAACGTGTGTAATAAGGTGACGACAATCAAGTCCACCCATCGAGTGAGCCATGAGATTAACGCCCCGGCCTCTTGCTCTTTCCGAAAGAAGTCGATCAAGATTCTCCGCCCTCGAGGCTATAGAGCCAGTCCTTTAAGAAACTCGGCATTCAGTAGGCTGAAGTGATTGCTTCTTGACATTCTTACCCGGGCACTGTTGTGACAATAACGTCTGCACCGAGTTTCTTCTTCAGGATGGACAACACATTTGACCAGTAATGTAGGCGAAGACTAGGGAATGCGGAAGGGCCCCTTACGTCGAATCCGTAAAGCCCTATAACACCTTCAATGAGGGCCAGAACCATTTAAGGAGATACTTACCATGGCAGAGCACAATAGGATACCGAGGGGCTCTGATGGGATTGAGAAGTGCGGGGTTGGACATCAGGCGGTGGATGGTGTCTTGATTCTGAAAGCCATCCTCAGGGTATGGTGGAGGGGGTGAACTGTGATTGCGTTCTCTATCATGCGAGGTGGTTGGCTCGTACTGCGACTTCTCTGAAGCCGTCGTAGCCGGATCCGTCATGGCACTACACGATGCTTGATCCGGGGATGGGCATTTGATGTCAAGCTGAAAGACAGAATCGGACCCTGCATAACCCCTTAGTCAGTCTGTTGGTGTGCTTAAACTTGACGTCGACGCGCCTGGAGGGTTTGCATCACCGCGTCCCGAAGCATCGGAGCCACTTGCTGTAGTCAAATTGACAGGCTTCAACAGTTCTGACCAACCAAAGTTGTAGCCAGATAACAGCCAGCTCCAACTGCCACTGGGTTGCGCGTGAAGGTTAGCTCCTAGCTGAGGACGTGACAGAGATTGTCCACCAGACGGTCTACGCGGAGGTGAAGTCTCTGTCTGAGTTCTTGACAGAATGTACTGGTTCGTCAAAGACAACGTTGAGATTACATTGACCAGTCGTCGAATAATTGCAGCGATCTGGACTGGAACGGAGACGTGGTTCATGCTTTCCAGACTCGGAGGACCAGCGGGAGATCATACAATACCGTGATCAAGGGAGGCATTTGCATTTACGTAAATCACACGTATCCCTTGCGTATCCCCAAATCTCCATTTCGGTCCACAACGAAACTTCGGTGGGGTTGACTGACATTGACAAGCCTTCTTGTATCTTTGCGGTCTTGCCTTTTGACCACAAAAATCTTTCATGCCAATATCAGTTTCGACTTATCGGAGATGTGAAGAGTGTGCCCCAAGTTGCCCTTGGAAAGGAAGTAACCTACGCACGCTGGGGTTGCGCCGGTGCTGGAACCACAAATTTGAAGTTGCTTGAAGTAGCTTTTAACGTCCAGAACAATGGACCTCTCGTCCATATTCTCAATCAAGGCATGTCAGTCTCATATCTTGAATTTCGATAACTCGCGCCATCTGCGTATCTTTACTTCGGAGATCCACAGCTTCTGTCCAGTTGCCTTCCAAGCCGAGGCAACCTTCGTAGACTTCAGGCAACTCAGAAGAAGGGGATCCTCATCCATCCCGAGTACTATTCAGGGTCTTGGATGCTCCGAGTGCCTTCTTGTGATCCTACTTTGCGATAAGGTGGGCCGCGCAGTCCGGCGAGCTCATGAGAATATGTGAGGTACAAAATAACCCCTTCCGTCAGGCTGACAACCCAGGTCAACATGAAACTTCTGGCGTTTTCAATTGCACTGTCTATAGCTGCGTCTCGTGTATTTGCTGCCAGATACTCAAAGTCTGCGGATATCTCTGGACCAGACTTCTACGAGGCCTTTCACTTCGAGAACCTTCCGGACCCGACCCACGGTCGAGTGTTTGTAGTTCTCACTCTCACCGCCGGTATTCATCGTTTGCTAACCTTTTCTTCCATCCAATGCGTGGATATAGTACCTACGTCGACGGACCGACTGCGCAGAGGCTTAACCTAACTTATGCCACCCAAGACACCTTCATTCTACGCGCCGACTATACGACGTATCTTAAGCCTTCTGATCCTGGTAGAAAATCCGTTCGCATCGTGTCCAATAAGCAGTACACAACTTTCACTGCGGTGTATGTTCTTTTTCTTGTTGGGATGGTCTCCTGATTGAGCCCTGTGCAGCTTTGACATGCGTCACATGCCTGAAGGATGCGGGTGAGCACCTACATATATTCTCCTCCCACTCGTCGATAACATCGCTCCAAAAGTACATGGCCCGCTGTCTGGACTGTAAACCCTTTTTTCCTGGTCATATAATTCAAACTACACAACACCCCATTTTGACAGGTGGGCGCCAACTGGCCCAACGAGGTGCGACTCTGCGCGTCCGCATGACACTCAAAGAGTTCATTGCTAGTTTAGGGAGAAATAGACATCGTCGAAGGGGTGAACAGCATGATGCCGAATATTGCCTCTGTCCATACCGGATCTCGTGAGTTTTTTGGTGCGCGAAGCGTACTCTACCTGACGGTCTTCGCTAGACTGTCAGATGCCCTCGACATCCCGTAACATGACAGGGTCTGCACTTCTAGATGTGCGCGTCGTGTGTCTTCTCATATTTCGACAGTGATGCGAGTGGTACGAACTGTGCAGCATACGAGACCGACAACGCTGGATGCGGCGTCAAGTTCGTCGAAGATGTCAATGATCCGATCAGCTTTGGGCCCGGGTTCAATACCCACCAGGGCGGATGGTAATTCTGAGCGCTTCTATCCTACGTTCCCCCTTGACCTTTTCCGTAGGTACGCACTGGAGCGCACGAACTCTTACTTGAAGATCTGGTTTTGGTCTCGGAGTGATCGTGCTGTCCCCCATGAGGTGAAGTTCGGCAGGACAAAAACCATCCATACAGAAAGCTGGGTGAATACTACTTGTCGATATCTGTCAGTGATTCTGATGCTTGGTATTATTCAAGGGAGTGCCTGCCGCTGTCTGGACAGATGATTTGTGCAATTTTCCGAGCCATTTCGGTCCCCACAACATCGTCATCAACTTAGCACTATGTAATGTCGCACCTTTTCTATGACCCATCCTTTTCGATGACTTTTTTCTCTCTGACAGGCGGTGACTGGGCTGGCAACTACTGGGCATATAAGCAATCTGGATGTCCGGATACTTGCGAGGGTCGGTCGTGTTTCTTGAATGTATGGCGGTTTCGGGACTTTGATGATCTTTTCCGCAGTGTTCGTCAACACGAACCCAGCTACATTCTACGCGGCGTACTTCGACTTTGCGGGTATCAGAATCTACACGTAGTTGCTTCCGCAGAAACACATCAAAGCAGACTGACTGATAATAGAGCCGTCGACGCGTGGAGAAGGTACGGAATGGCATATGGTAGATGTGACTGTTGTATCGTGTATTACCCCCGGGAAAATCAATTGGTGCTCCTTCTGCACTGGCAGCACCCGTGAGCAGAGATACTGCAAACTGTTCCGCTGAGGTCGAGCCAGGTCGATGGCCCTGTTGGCCTGCCCCCCACTTCCAGCTCCCGTCTTTGAAAAATGTCGTTGTACGCTGGTATAGTAGTATATAGCAACATGAGATAGTATTTGCCTGCTCGGCCTGTTTCGCAACAAATATATTCCAGCGACAGTTGACAATTACCTATTGGGGGAGAAAAGAAATGGCAAAAAAATCTCTCTGGCTGGGAGTCGAACCCAGCTCTGCCGCGATCAACTGAGAATTGCTCAATGACAGGCGGCTGTACTATCCGATATACTACCAGAGATATTTGACAACCTGAGTTTTGTACATATGACCCTGCGTTTCGCCATCACGGTGAGGTCGAGCTGCTGGACTGACGAAAACTATCGTTGGGCCAGAGATGCGAAACAGCACATAGATGCAAACGCAACAACGTTAACACTCATTATATCTCCGGCTGAGTGTCTGAGGCACGAATGTAGTACACTTATGTTGCTCGTATTTTTTTCACAAATAAAAATGAGGCTGAAAGCTCCTCGGCACTAGTATTATCGAACACCTGACAGCAGGTTTTTAGAGCTGAATGCAGCTGGGGGGGAGACATCTCAGCTCAGAAAAATTTGGTATTTTCAGGTTCAGACTCTGCGGCTGTCTCGACGGGTTGTTACATCTCGTCACGAAATACTACTGTACATGTATAGAAAGTTCATAGACTGAAAAAAAACAGAGCCCGCCAAATCAAGGGTTATTGCTGGTTTGTGTTCGCGTTCTCGACCCCTCCGATGGCATGGCAAGAGGCAAGGAAGGTATGTGGCCCCACCGCAGAGGCCACAAGGTCATTAGCACGACAACAATCCAGCTTGGTATCATGGTTGCGAGTGTTAACTTGTCGTTCGTCTGGAATACCACGAACGAAAGGGCCAATATGAAGAAAAACATGCTGATAGCCGACAAGCTAGTAAACAGGTAGCATATCTAGACTAATGGTAACTCACCCCCACAGTAGGAGAGAGTAAGGAAGACTAAACATCACCGCCAACGCCTCCATTCCGAAGACTGAATCTGTCATCCGCGCCATGTAAGTCGCCTGACAAAGTTCCCTCAGTGGGATTTTTGGTGCATAAGAACATGTGACGCACCCCTCCTTCCACCGAATCTACATCATGCCTGCGTATTTGACCCACGAGAAGGACGGAAATGATGAGGGCGCTGACTGAGGTGATGACCGACGCATAAATCGAGAGTGTAGCTCCGGACTGATCACCATCGGGCGACTCGACTCCAGGCACGGCAAGAAAACTGATATCTACGGCCAACATCACAGTTGACTGTTGAGGGTCAGCTGAGGCTTACTTTCAATGTCGTTATGAAACATACGTATATAGTGAACCCATTCCATTCGCTATTAAGCCGAGATATATAAGTTTTCCAACGCGATTCATTGATGGTTTTGTCAACCCAGATACTTCGGACACCTCTGAGGTGGGCTGTGGGAGCGCCGAGGAGTGCAAGGTCCAGCAGTTTCATGAAAAACGAAACAGGCTCATCTTTAGCGATTTTCTTTGTAAATACAGAGTGGTCGGCATCAAGGCGGGCACCGATTTGTCCACAGAAGTTGAGGAACTTGGTATGCACTACGGAAAGACGTTAGCTTTGTGTCAGATATCACAGGGAGCCACGTGCTAAACAAACGCATGACTCTCGCTGCAATGGTAGGTGAGATGGTTCAGCGAAATCCCGAAAGGTTTGAAAAAATACCTAGAACACTCATTGAATGGGCATGACGTTTACCAACACTATCTGTGACGCATCATGGAGTGAGTGAGCGAAACAGCAAGGAGACGATCAAAGACAACCTTGGATGTTCGATATGAGGTCAAGCAACCTCTGAAGATCACCAGATTCAAACGGCGCCAGCGATGTATCAGATAGTATGGAGTCTGCCCTTTATCCTTAAGAATATGACTCTGAAGGTGATGCATCGCGACTGACCAGCGCTTGCGTGGATCAGGGTCTGTCTCAGCTCGACGATGAATTCTTCCTTTACAACCTGGTCATCGGGATAAAGCTCCAAGTGATTCCTGTTGGAGAAATGTTACGTCAACCTCCTGTTATCAGATTGACGCTGTTGCAATCTGGTTAGCAGGCATGCGTGTAGTCAATATGACAAACGCACCAACGACTCCGAACCAGTAGTGAGTTTCGATAGCATATCCTAGGCGGTGCCCTCAGACTCGGAATACTGCTTCTAAGTGACAACGCTTTCCAAAACTCACTGAGATGCCCCTCGCTCTTCACACCTTGGATGTTCCCGCATATCTCACGTGTTCTGCGTGGGTGTACCCAGAAGATTGATTTTCTGCTGTGGTCCACAAAATAATAGGTGCATGGGTGCTTCTCAGGAGCCGGGACATCGGCGTCGAGCTGCAACTCGAGCACTAGCACCGTCAGGGGGCTAATTGAAGTCTGTAATCTCTCCGCGGCCTTGAAAAGGACCTTGATAAACTCCTCCACTTCATCGAGATGCGAAAGAACGCTCAGGTCGGTGTCAGTGAATACATGCTGAAGGATGCATCATCATCGCGAACCCTAGGGATATGTGCAAAGGACTACGTACTCGTTCTGTTCCAGGAATTTGTTTGTGGAAATATGGCGCGCCTTCTGGGTGAACGAGCCGATCCCATCCTGCGATGGCAGGCCTGAACTTGAAAAGTGAACCAGAAGTCATTTCGCGATCGGAAGATCGTACTCAACGTATTCCAGTTTTCCTGGTTGTATTTCCAGAGTTTAGTAGTAGTCTTTAGGTCTGGTTGCAACAGCTAGAACATCAGTGTCCGAGTCCCAGTAGGAGCGCGGAAGTGGCACACATCTTAATCTTCCTCTCGTAACGTTGCATTTCCGCAGGTATCGCAGGCTTCGGCAGCGCCCTGCGCGGCTTCGGCGGCCTCGGCGGGCGCACGGGGTGCCCCTGAAGGCCGCACGGCTCTGGAGAGGATATCTGCCCTGATTGTGCACCATCAGACTGAGGTATTAGGTGCTGGTGCAACGAGCCCGTGCTCGAGGTAGTTTGTGGACTGTTCTGATACGAGCATCCAGCTGAAGGTTCCTGCATACAAGAGGCGGTGGCTGGTGCTTCGAGTTGATTGGATGAGCCTTCGGCTGTCTGGTTTCTTTCATCAGCATGATAAATCGTTCCTGTTGTCTTGATACGACTTGAGCTAGCTAGCTGGCCTCTAAAAGCTCTCATAACTTCCATCGGTCCACAGCGTGTGTTAAAGCATAGAGAATGGAGGAACCGCAAGCTGCGAACCAGCGAGGACCAGACGAGATGACGAACATTGCGGGCAGTTAGTTTCAAGAGTAAACGAAGCTGTCCTAGTGCCTTTCGAAGAGCTGCAACGAGTTGGAGGTTATGGTGCATCATGCCAAACGACCATTATTTCGATGTGCTTTGAAGGCGCTGGAGACCGGTGTGGTCAAGCATAACGACGTGTGCGCCCACGAGGTAGCCTGGCTGGAGGTCTATAAGCGCCCATTAAGAACAAAGACACTATCACGGTGACAGTGATCCAGAAGGGCTGTGCGCTTAGCGCTTAGTGTTTATATGCTGTTAGCAGAGAACATTAGCAAAAGACTGTGAGCGAATGATTTGACGGTGCCCAGGGACCAAGTAAATTTTTGGGCCGCCAAACTATTGGAAGCCAACATTTGTTAACGCTACCTCGAATACCCTGTAGTCCTAGTCTTGGACCAAGGCAGCTGACCCAAGACGCTAATAAAGTATCAGCACGAGACAAGCAAACTTGAATACATTTCAGCAGGGGCGATAACACGACCAGGGGGGCAGCAATGCACAGCGAAGAAATTTGAAACTTGAATGACGCTCACAGTGTAGAGCGCTTGCAGAGAAATGTCACAGATATCACTAAGAATAAGTAGTAGGAAGAAATCTGATGGGATGATTTGGGGGATAGAAGAAGCCTGAGCAGGCCACCCGTAGTTATAGAAAAGCCTCAAAAGTCTCGAAGCAAAATCGATACCGGCATCCTCTGTGCGCATCATCAGAGTCGATGCTCGGCGGTGGACTTCGTTCCACAGGGGGGGGGGTTCTTTTGACTGGATCCAGGTCCTTTGTTGATTGCTCGGCTGCAATTTCAATAACACCCGGTCGGAAAAGACATTTCGATGTCTTGCTTTGCAGACCCATGCAATGTATTCCAGATACGCGAAATGAGTTTACGATGAGGTGGGGCAACAGTTCTAGTATCCGGACGACTCTGGGGTTGCGCCAGTGGTCGCGGCCTATGTATGGCAGGAAGCTGCCAGTGGGACGACCCAAACATGAAATTCTGGCTCGAACGCGGGGTATTGACAAAAGACATTCATCAAGGGTGTTATCCGGCGCACGAAGAGCAGACCCTTGGACAACTCCATTTTGCGGTACGGACGTTGCTCCCTCCCCCAACGACCGTGGGCAACTGAGAGCAGGGTGGGTCGGTTAGCCACAGCGGAACACGTACAAAGGAGTACTGGCATCGAAAAATGAGCTCTCTGAAAATCTCTGCATCCTCAAGGGAGGTTGAGGAACACACTGAGATCAGAGAAATTCGCCGCCACATACCACGTCTTCGACAATAGGTGAATCCCATAGATTCTCGATGTTAGAGTGCATGTAGATTACTAGTATCGAACGACGTTAGGTACAATTCGCTTAAATTTCGGCAGTAAATCCTAAGTGAAAATAGATACGAGGGCACCAAATTTACCAGAAGAAACCTTGACGAAGACCCGGGCAAAAAAAAATAACACAGTCACAAACAGTCCGAGAAAGGTTCGCGACAGCGAGTTGTACCAATACCTCCCAGTTTATTGATCAACGGAATCTTTGTCTTCCTCATCAACACCACCCAAAGCAACCCAGTCGCAGAGCAGCATTGCCCGGCTGATGTACGAGGGCATGCGTATCACTGTCTCCTTATGGAGCTCGTTGATCGTACAGCTCTCCGAGCAAAGGACGAACCGACCCAGCCCTCCCTCGCGACCAGTGAAGAGGCACACCGTTGGTGGACGGCTGGCGATGAAGTAATAGAGAGTGCCCGAGAGGGTGTCGATGAGAGTGTATATGTGTCCGTTATATCGTGCGTCTGCGGCCTGCGTGAACTGGGACGGGTCGCCCTCGCGTATTGTGCCATCTGCAGCGAGTGCAAATGGTGATCCGCTTGCCGTGTAAGACATGCGCGGGAAGCTGGACATGGCACCTCCGTACAAGCGCTGCGACACTTGTTCGACTGTGAGCACCCCCTT